ACATTTCTGAAGGGTCATGTGACACTGAAGACTGGAGTAATGGCAGCTGAAAATTCAGCTTTTCCATCACAGCAATAAAAGAGCAGAAAACCAGAATAGAAAACTGTTATTTTAGATTGTGATAATATTTCATAATATCACAGTTCTTACTGTATTTTTATTTAAATAAATGCAACCTTGATGAGCAGAAGAGACTTTTTCTTACCAACCCCAAACTTTTGAATGGTGGTCTGTGCTGAAATATAAATATATATAGTTATATTTCTGGGTGAATTATTCCATAATGGAAGCAGTTTTCATGTTTCTCAGTTTTAGAGCTAATCAAACACTGTATCTTATTTTGTTTCCCTCTCAGGCACTTGGGAGTTATTATACCGCCTATAATAGTCTTGTTTCAGCAAAAGGAGGTTTTGTTTTTCTTTTTATGCGGTGTAGGGAAAATATATCCCATAAGAATAGCTGTTCTTAATAGTTTGTGTGAACCCTCAGCCAATCAAAGCACTGCTACCATCTAGTTATTTAAGAGAAACGGATTTATATTTGGCATATGATCAGCAAAGGAATATAATGTTTTCTAAAAATAAATAATAAAAGAGAATTCGTATGGTCTTAAATGTGTACAGTATTACATCTGTGCTTAAATTAAAAAAATAATGGATGAGACACTTGAGAAGATATTATGCAGCAAACTTTTTGCTTTACTCAAAAAAAAATGCTTTTTACACATTACTGTACACAAACAATAATAGCTTTACTTTTCTCTTGCAGTTATGATTTTAGATTATTTTAGTAGATGATTTTATCCAAAGTGACTTGCAGTGCATTCCACACATTTTCGGGAATCAAACCCATGACCTTGACATTGCTAGTGTCATGCCCCAGAAGCTGAGCTGCAGGAACACAATGTACCGTTTGCATACAGCCCAGGTCACTTTGGAGTCCTTTGCACATCCCATTGTGCGGCTGTGACTTTGCATGCCTGGCTCTGTACATTAACCTTCAAAACAGCAGTAAATTCTCAATTCTCTGGATGAAAGTGACAATCTGCTCTCTGCAGAAGTGTACGTTGCTTGCTCCTGAGGATGCTGCACTTTGGTAAGGGTTTCACTACTAAGTAAACAGCAATGGTTGAATATCTACAGTTTGAATGCAAACTAGATTTTTACATCTAAAGAAAAGTGTGAGTGGTGTCTGCCCATACAACACTCGCCACTGTGTTATTGAGAAAATCTAGTCTTTTTAAGTCTGGGTTGAGTGGTTCAGAAAAGGTTGATGATCTGCTTTCAATAGTTGAGGTCTGAAAGACACTTAACTTGCAGTAATTTGTCGATGTAAACAAATAGACTGAGCCCATTGGATGAGAACAAAAACTTAACTGACCTAAGCTGGATGGTGGCACTATCCTCTTCTGCAGAGCTGCTTCACAGCCGAAACACATCTTACAACATCAACAGGTATTGAACTGAATTGAATCAACATTGAACAGATTCAAGCTGAATAACGACATTGCTGCCTTTGGTACTATTTACAGCTGAACTGGACTTGTTTCAGACTGATGAAGTTCACACTGTTATTGATCTGAACTGAACCAACACTGAACTGACTTGAGCTAAATAATGACACTATATAGACCTTAGTCGGGTTTGATGCCAGTATTGAATTTAAATGGGTCCAATTATGCTTTTTCACTTTTTCAACTTTAGTTAGGGTTAGGGTCAGGGTTAGTAATGTGTAATGTCCACTTTAAAACGTGATATTCTGTTTAATAGAAAACACTTTAAGACCCACAACAAACGTCTCCTTTAGACTACAATGCACTTCTTCCGGATCTTGTGACACCACAAAATCACTCATCTAAATAATCCCTGCCCACGGAACATGCAAAGGGGGGGGGGGGGGGGGGGGTGGGGGGGGGGGGGGGGGGGGGTACTGGTTGAGCTACGCTGGAGAAGATGAAGAAGAGATGCTTTTGTAAAGTGTTGTCGCCATGGCATGGTTATGGTGAGGAAAGTTACATTTCCAGAACACGCTCTAAGTGGTTCGCCAATTACAACGCACTGGGCCAGCTGACCAATCAGTATTTTGGAAGGAGGGGCTTCAGGAACTAAGCAAAAAATAATGTGTTTTTGGAACAATCAAGCACCTGTTGAAACCTATTCTAGGACACCCCAAAAAACAAATAATAGGGCATAATAGGACCTCTTTAACATGGATGAAAACGAGGCTGTATAAACACTGTCACTGTATAAAGGATCTAGATCACATAATTTTCACTCACAGCTTTCAAAACAGTTTTATGGGGTTTTACTCTACTGAAAGTTTGTTGGGTAAGACATTTTGTCAAGTGAACAATCGGCATGTTGTTAAACAACATTGAACGCACTTTATTTCTAGCCCTCACAACCTCGTTTTCATTCCTGTCGAAAATTAAATATGGCACTACCCTGACTAAGGTCTGTTGTCTTTTAGAGCTGCTTTACAGCAGAATCCAAAATGTCTTCATAGTCAAGTTTCCATACTTGATTCTGCTATTTGTCTGTTTGTCTCTGTGAAGCTGCTTTGACACAGTCTGTATTAAAGTGCTATAGAAATGAAGTTGACTTGCCTTGACTAATACACATCATTAAATATGCATCGATCCACAATTACTTTACACCCTCCTAACTGCCTGTAAAACAATAATTAGCAGTGGAATAAATCTCTGACCTCACAATTCACAAGGCTTGGAAAATACGCAGAAATTGTTAGCAGGATTCTGGTGGGCAGCGCAGAAGTCCATTTCCAAGCAGTCCCAGTCTACTGGATCCACCTGTGAAGCCCCGCTCACTGACATTGGCAGGTTGCATTCTGGGAATCCATCTGGTGGCACCACAGACAGGAAGAAACCTGCTAATTAGCTCTCTCTGTAAAGGGGCTGGGTCGGAGCGAATTCCCAGCTGTCATTAAACATACTCGGAAAGGGGGAGAAGGATGAAAAACACTAGGGATCCGATGCTCTAATTCCTCTTTTTAGAAGAAGGGATCCGTTTGTGTTACGCTACACAGGCCCGATGTGCAGAACCTCTGTGAAATGCACCGCAGAGTAAAATGCTGGTTCATTGGGATGTGTGTGTCGTAATGAATTCCTTTATTGTCGCTTCGTGAGGCTTTTGAAAGAGGAAAATCCCTCGGTGTCACCTTTGGCACACCTTCTTTTCAAACCCCCGCGGAGCCTCATAGAGACAGAAGGCTCGAAATCACACGAGGCACTAAAGTAGAGCGCAAATGACAGAACAAAATATGCAGAAATAAACATAATAGCTCTCCGATGACTGACTTGTGGTTAGGCGACGGTGACAAATGCACCGTAAGTGGCTTGAGTATTTTTCGAGGGAAATATAAAGGCCGGAAAAGCTCCACTTTGGCAATTTTAAGCTTGCGCGCTGAGAATTCTCAATCTCCTTTCCCTTGAGCAATTGTGTTTACACATATGGCCTGCGCAAGCATTCTCATACATTGATTAAATTACTGTTTTATCCGGGAAAGTATAGCAGCCATTCAGATCCAAATGACTTTAATCTCGGCGCTCCGGTTGCCCAGTCACCGACTGCTCGGAATTCTAACGCTGATCACCTGGCTGCATCCCACCAATCAACCGTCTCAAAGGGCCGCGCGAGGCAGAATTTGCCTTTGTTCGTGAATAAACTGAGCAATGAGAATTCTGGGACGTTCCCACCAGATTTATAAACAATAAATATGCAAATTGAAAAAAGCGAGCATTTACACTGCAGCAATCATAGAACGGGAGTGAAATGGAGTGATCTGGATGTAACTGCACTCTCTTGAATACATATCAGGTAAAAAAAAACACCTTGTATACATTTATAATGGACTTATTTCTGCAGTGTAAATGGTACTGTTACATGGGGAAGTTGTCATAAGATCTATTAATAGGAGGTCTTTTGTTCAAACTTTGTGTGTGTGTGTGTGTGTGTGTGCGTGCATGTGTGTGTGCGTGCGTGCGTGCGTGCGTGTGTGTGTGTGTGTGTGTGTGCAACAGATTTCATGCAAAAAGCCAACAGTATAAATATAATTGAAATGAAAATATAACCAAAATAAATTGATAGAACTGATAGATTTAATGTAAAATGACTTAAATTGAAATGATTTGTCACAGTGTGTTTCCTGCACAAATTTTTTATAATAAACTTGAATATTCAGCTATACTTTTATTTGCTTTAGTGCTCCATTAAAATCATTTGTTGCACTGCTATGATGTTTAAATAAAATAAATTGTACTTTATTACAGTATATATTTTGGCATAGCACATCATTGACAAGAGTTAAACTAATTAATATGTAAAATAACAAACACATTAGAGGGAAAATGAGTTTAATCGTCATTAAAAAAAAAAGTCAGGGGAAGTTGTCACATTTGTTTTACATGTCAATTTCTCAAATTTCTCAATTTCTCCAAAACGAAGATTTTTTGGCTCACTCACAAAAATACAAGTATAGATGGATGGATGGATGGATGGATAGATAGATAGATAGATAGATAGATATTATACTTAGATTACTGAACCCCCCCGGGACGCAATGGCGAATGGACCGAGGGGGGCCCCGCTCTGTACCTCGCACCGGGCTTCGCGTCAGCTAAGGACGGCCCTGGTTGTGACAACATGCCCCGCTATAGTAACTACAAGGTCTGTATAGAAATTATCTTTCAAAATAAATCTACTCGGAGGAAAAAAAAATCCTAAAGTTCAAAATGTTACATGTAGCCCCAGGCTCCCCTACAAAACACACATAATTTAGTCCCAATGAGATTGCTTTAGTAGTTGTGTTATTTTGCTATTCTGTTCTTTTTTATATTGAGGAAATGCAATTCACATAATTCAATAGCAAAAGGCTCTCTGTAGATGTCCTGGAAAGCACTGGTACTCACACCCCCTCTCTCCTGCATGTGTGCGCGCTTTTGGGTTTCCTAGTAACCCGCGCGCCTGTGCTGGCGTGTCCGAGCAGCGCGCACTCGTGAAGCTCGTGTGGAGCTCGCGAACACGCAGGACCAGAGCATCGGGAAAAACACGAGAATGTGACTGGAGTGTAAAGGATGAAGGATGCTTTCGCTGGAAAAGGTCACACGAATTGCATGAAGAGCGCTGGGAGGAAATCTTAACACAACTGCCACGGATTACCACTAATGCGCACGCATTTTTAGGGAACAGGAATACCAGGAATGGGGGATTTGATGTTTCACCAAAGCAGGTGAGTTGTTCATGAGGATAATGCGTGTTGGTGAGGAGAACTTATTAGTCACCAAACGAACAGACTGTAGAAGGCGGTGCGCACCGCTATGTCTTCTTATCCCGAGATCTCTTCTGTCAGGATCGCCACTTAACAATCGGGTGAACTTCAGTGTTCCTTGCGTCTGTGGCGAGGAGATGCGCAGTTAGATGAAGGAGAGGTGAAGCGGGCTTGGTGAAGTGCTGCGATGCCGGTAAAAGTAACAGGAGATGAGGATGAGGATCTCTTGCACTTGTTACACCCCATCTGCACTGCAAGCGAGCGTCGCGACGCGACAATTCCAGAACGCCCCCAGTAAAAGCGCGCAGAGGAGGCAGCGCGGTGGAGCTTTCTAGTAGCGTCGCGTCGCTCGCATATAAAAAGTCTTCGCGACGTCAGGATCCCAGCCGCAACCTCTAGCAGTCTGCACAGTTTCGTCGATCTGGGTAGTTCTGTCGCGTCGCGTCGCGAACAGATCGCGTGTCATTTTAAGCGTCTTCCATGTTGCGTTTATGTTACGCTTGGATTCCATTACGAGCTGATGATTGGATTTATGTTTTTATTGAAGATGTCTTCAGATTATGAGACTACTATAATGTGCAATTATTCAATTGCAATGAATTTCACAATGATGTGCAATTTATCAAATAATAATAATAATGTTCAAATCGTGGGTTTTTAGAAGTGTTCCATGCGATATGTGCATATGTACAGGAAAAAAAGCATTTTTTAAAACATATTTCATAAAATTCACATATATTTGTATAATGTATATATTGAGTCTGATTTCATCATTTTCTTTTTGTAATGTAATTAAACATTCTAAATGGCCCTGCTCTGTGACAAAAAGGCTACATTTTTTTTAAAGTGCAAATATGCCATGTAGTCTCTAATACAAGCTTATAAAAACTGCATGCATGAAAATTTATGAAAGAATTTGAGAAATGTTTGAAATAGTTCTGAATTGAAACTGCTTACCCTTTAATGGTAGTTACATACATTCAACAGATAATCTTGATATTTGCTTGTTTCACGCGAACAAAAATACAGCAACTTTATATAATGACATGTTAACCTGGCTGGTGTCAGGCCTGCTCATATTTTTGTTTAAGACAGTCTCGATTGGCTTTGCAGTTTTAATTTCAAGGACCAGACTGTCAAACTGTAGTTTAAAAGACTTGGGAGACGTTTTGCACTGAATTGCAGAGAGAGAGAAAGAGAGAGAGAGAGAAGAGAGAGAGAGAGAGAGAGAGAGAGAGAGAGATGTGCCTCGGAGTTGTCATGGTGATTTGGTGAATAAGCAATTGTCCGTAAAGGCAACATATTAAAAGGGATTGCTGTTGCCATTCTCAATCATTGAAGAGCATATTTCAGCTCTCACTTCGAGGAGGGTTAGAGTAGGGTTAGGGTTAGGCTTATTTCGTTGTGAGAAAACATACTGCAACATAAGTGATTGTGATTGGTCCAAGTGGATGCTATCTCAAAGAAAGCCTAATTCCGTAGCCCTGCCATTCACGCTGCTTTATCTTGTGTTTTTACAGAGGGAACCTATTTATGTGCTCTGGCATTTAGTGTCTTGAAGGATTATGCACGGTCCTGCTTTTGAGTTTCCTCTCTCTCCCAATGTCTTTATTTGTATTTTGGCCTCGTACGCTGGTATTTTTGAAGTAGCCGCTGACTTAAATACATTCTGAATGACACATCCAAGTTCAGAGCTCTTTGCATCTTTCTGATGTCTGCTTTTAAGTTAAAGGAACAAGTTGTTAGAACCAGGCTGGTCTTTTTCATACAGAGCAGATACATCCAGAACAACTGTAGCAATTTATTTCTACTTGCAGCTCTAGTGTATTTTCATGTCGGTGTTATTTCTTGGTAAGCATTCCTATTCATGGTTATTCATTATCTTTTAAAAATGTATGTACCAACCAACATTTACAGTACATGAATAGCCTGCACATTTATTCTTACAATGCAATAATAATAATAATAATAATAATAATAATAAACAAATAAAAATTACAAATAAATAAATAAAAACACAAATAAATAAATAACCATTTGTAAAAAGTATTTTTGTTTCTAGATAAAACTATCCAAACAAGAGAAATGCACAAGAGAAGCAAACATGTATAATATATTAAGACTTGTTTTCAGGGAATATCTTGAATTACGTTTTTAGCCTGCTGGTAAATTGTCCTTCCTAAGCGATTGAGGTGTTCTGTTGTTGGATGTAATAATGAACATAGCAGTCATCATTTTACTCCCGACATCTGACGCAGTGGATTATGTTTGTTTCTGAAGGGAATGCGCCCCCAATCTACATAAATGCATCTATGTTCGCGCGAATCATTCATGATCCAGCTTCACCCACAGAAGAAGTGAGTATAATGTTTTGTAATGAATCTTTGCAAATCGCCTTTCCTAATAATGTGCTAATTAGCAAGTTACACAATGAATGCGTCTCTCTGAGAGCAGCTGGGAAGAGAGGGGCGGGGCCAGCAGAGCTCATTAACATTTAAAGGAAAATGCTACAAAAACGGCTTGATCTGAAAAGAGCTGTTTTTGACAGGGTAAAAAAGGTGGTTTTTACACTACCATTGAGAAATTTTAACCAAACTATGTTACAGACTTTTCATTAAGACCCCAGAGAATCATATCAACTTGTGGAAAATGGGCATCCTATGACCCCTTTAACTTCAAATTTGTTCTAGAAAAAAAAATGCCATTAAGGGAAAGACAATTGTATAAATATGACATATTTTCTAAATCAAGTCTAAATATCTTATACAGTGTGGCTTTTCAAATGAATGTCTCCTATTTTGAAGATATTTAGATTTTTCTTATTTATTGGGAAATAAAATAGCTTTATTGCTGTTTACTATGGTTTTGTCAAATAGGGCATGTTCCTGGATCTACTCTTTGGGTTAAGGTTATTAGGATTTGAATATTGTCAAAAGATCCAGGAAAATGTCTTATTTGGCAGAATCACACTCTTAAAAAGAAAGGTGCTTCACGATGCCATAGAAGAACCTTTTTGTCTAAATAGTTCCATAAAGAACCTTTAACATCTGAAGAACCTTTGTTTCACAAAAGGTTCTTTGTGGTGAAAGAAGGTAAATAAAAAGGTAAGAAAGAGATGGTTCTTTAAAGAACCTTTGACTGAATGGTTCTTTGTGGAACCAAAAATGGTTCTTCTATGGCATCACTCTGAAGAACCTTTTATAGCATCTTTATTTTTAAGAGTGCACTCTCAGCCAACTTTCCCACAGTTTCATGTAGCAGCATCAAGTCAAGAAATCTTGAATATATGCTGCAACAAATCATTGCTAGCTGCTAGCTGGGTTTTCCTGTTTTCATTGTTACTACAATTTCACATACACTGAATGATGGGAACACTTTGATGTCATGAATGAAAACAGAACTGGAAAGTCAGAAAACAAGAAAAGCCCCACAGCATCAATTCCCGCCGCCGTAGTCTTTCACTGTTAGACCAAATCAGGTGATCTGTTCTCCGAGTCACCTTTATTGACCTCCACGGTTGAAAAACACTGGACTATTGCCATCACTCAGATGAAGGTCGCTCAGAAGACAGTAATTCATCTGTCTCTGTGTTTCAGCGTAAAGTGTCTGAACGCAAAATACTGCAGAACCTGCTAGAGAAGTGACTGATGACTGATGTGCTTTTCTGCGTCAGTTTATCTGCTGAATCTGAACTCAATGAATATCTTGAAGTGTCTTTTCAGGGATGAGAAAACACTCATGCAGCTTTTTACATTCCAGACAGGGTTTACATTTGATAGCTGCATGAGTGAATTGTGAAAATATTACATTTTACTCAAATATCAAAAGGAAAAGCAAATATGACATTATATTTTTCATAAAAGAAAATGAAGCCTATTGCTAGGGCCATTGAGATTTAATTACTTTTTTTTTTTTGCATTGTAATTTTCATGTTTATTTTCATGACAGTTAAAACCCATTTGCCTGCTAAATTACTATATTGTGTTTGATATTTTACATATTAACTTAATTTTCATTATTGTCAATGATGTACTATTCCAAAAATATATACAGTTATAAATGATAACTTATTATTATTATTAATTTTTAATAATCATTGCAGTGCAACAAATAATTTTAAAGCAAATGCACACCTTATGGAGGTGCATACTTTGTAAAGAAGAGTATAACTTATATGAGTTTATTATAAACAAATGTGTGCAACAACTACTATCAAGATACAGTTTTACAATTTAAAACATTTTACATTTCAAGAATTGGTTATATTTAATTTGTTATATTTTCATTTCAGTGATATTTATGTTTTTGACTTTTTGCATTAAATATGTTGCGCACACACACACACACACAAGTCAGGCATGGAGTTATGGATCATCTTCACCACAGAGGTGTTTAAAAATTGTGTCTTCGAAATATTGATACATTGATTTCTCTAGCCAAACCTATTTTAGTTAAGTTTATTCAAGTGTTACCACTTCTCTACGATCCTACTCAAATACAATACTTTTAAACTATTTTAAAATGGATAACACGAGCTCAGCAATGATACATACACATCAGCGTAAATAGCAGAAGGAGATAATAGGCTTGATTTTACAGATCATTTCAACTTCCATATTCCTTTTGCTTTTATTCAGAGCTGAATTTAATGGCAGGCTGCAGGATGTGAGCATTGCTCTTTGAAAAGACTGCTGGTGTGCACTAGGTACAACACAATGTTTGTCTTTGTGCTTTAACTGGCATGTGAATGCGTTTGTATAAAGCACACACACACACACACACACACACATGCGCATGCTTAATAGCCATTTCAAAGATTTAATGTTGAGCAGTATCTCGCACGCATGTCTTTCAAAATGTCTCCTTGTGTCCTCTACAAAACCGCTGAGATTTTCTGTCAATCAGACAGGTCTCTCCAGGCTTACTTCAGTGAAAAGCGTTTTTAGAGGAGCTTTACACAT